CTGTCCTCTGCGCCGATCGGTAGCCCCGGCCAGTGTTCCTGCTAACTTCGGGGTCCTCGTCGCTCGAAGAGTACTGATTCGCCGAGGAAGTGGCGCTCCCGGATTGGTTACTGCTCCGCCAATCAGAGCGCGGGCCTCGCCTACTACTACTGCGATTGGCCCCCGACCTTGCGCGGCCCTCAGAATCCATCTCATCGGTTAACGGTCATCATCTGGGCGAAGAGGAGGAGGAGAAAAAAAGAGATTAATAAATCTAAATATTATAGTATGTGAAGAGCTTGACGTCAAAACCTTCTGAGATAATAAGATTAATGTAGGACGCTACTGCATATAAAAAAAGAGGTAATGAAAAAAAAAGTTATGTATAGAGAAAGAAAATTTAATAAATTAATATGATTATATATTCATATCCGGCGTAGAGAAAAAAAGAAAGAAAAAATGTGTGTGTGTGTGTGTGTGTGTGTGTGTGTGTGTGTGTGTGTGTGTGTGTGTGTGTGTGTGTGTGTGTGTGTGTGTGTTTAAATATATATGTATATATATATATATATATAAATATATATATATATATATATATATATATATATATATATATATATATATATATAGATGTTAATATATAGAAATCTGTTCATTTTTATAAAATCCTGTTCAGTACGTTTTAATTAAGTAAGGAAGTGTCATTGTCAGCAGATAAATTAAAATACAAATGTACATTCATTTTTTCCATGGCTACATTGATAATCTTATATATAAACTGATCAGTACAAATTTAATTGCAAACACGAGTACAGATATAAATGAAAATACACCAGATATTATAATATACAGACTATGATATGAATGAAATACAGACATAAGGATAGATATATAGAGATGGATATAGGTAGATATTGACGTGTATGTTTGTGTGTTTGTTTGTGTGTGTGTGTGTGTGTGTGTGTGTGTGTGTGTGTGTGTGTGTGTGTGTGTGTGGTGAGTGTGTGAGTGAGTGAGTGAGTGAGTGGTGAGTGAGTGAGTGGGTGAGTGAGTGAGCGAGTGAGCGAGTGAGTGTGTGTGTTTTCGGGTCCGAATGCAGGTACAGTGCGTGTCTGCATGCACGTACGTGTCAAATATCCCGAGACTTTTACTCGATACTCTTCCAGATACCGGTGGTTACTGACCAATGCCCCGGAGTATTTGCTTTGCATGATAAGAACTTATTAAATGATAGGCTAATATAACATACAACGCAATGTGTATCATCATAGCAAAGGAAAAGAAACGTAAAAAAAAATCAATCTAATCTTTCTTATCAGAATACTTAATCTAAAAAATGAAACGAAAGAAGAACCATTAGCAGATACAATGGTCCTTAAAAAAAATCAGATATAATTATCCTAAAAAAAACAGAGAGAAAGAGAAGAAAACAAATCAGATAAAATCACCCTAAAAATAATAATAAAAAAAAAATCAACATTAAAAAAAAAAGAAACAGAAAAAAATCGGATATAATCATCCTAAAAAAAGAAACTGAATTAAAATCAGATATAATCATAAGTAAGTATTGCACTGAATCAGCAAAGCCGAACTCACAACGTGCAAAATCCAATTAAGGATTTTACTTATCGTTCCGAGAAGCGATATCGGCAGGGTAGATTCCCCCCCCCCCCCCCGTCTCTCTTCCTCTCTTCTCCCCATCTCCCCCCCCCTTCCTTTCCTCTCCCTACTCCCTTCTCCCTTCTTCTCTTCCCCGTCTCTCGTCCTCCCTTCCTCTCCTTACTTCCTTCTCTCCACCCCTCCTCCTCCTTTTCTTGCGTCGTCCCCTCCTCCCTTCCTCTCGTTGCTCCTTGCTGCTTTCCCCTCTCCTCTCCTTCCCTCCTCCCTTCCTTTTTTTTGTCCCTTCCTCCCCTCCTCACTTTACTCCCTATCTCCCCTCCCCCCTCCCCACCTTGTGCCACCGCTGCCACCATTTATTTGTTGATGGATGGCGCACTTTTCGTATATAACTGATGAAATTCGATTTACCTCACAAAGCATCATATTGTATATATCATGGCACCCACCTCAGGACAGGCAGGGCGCGTGACAGTTTTACCTTCAATATCATCAGAGACATAATTTGATCTCTGAGACTCGTCCGTGCAAATACATACATGAATCTCTATACACATACAGTATGCACACACACACACACACACACACACACACACACACACACACACACACACACACACACACACACACACACGGACGGACGGACGCACACGGACGCGCACACACACACCGCATACAAATATATCATCCATAAAGGTTCAATATCATTCGTTGCCAATTGTGATACAAGAAATAGCGGAATACTTCGTCACGCAGGTGGGAAAAGGCTGAACGAAGACCATCATGAACGAAGGCGATAGTTCATTCCTGGTGCATATTTCTCGCAGAATGGTACCTACATGATGGTTCTTGGAAGCCTCGAACCTCCCTCGGTATGATGCCCCCTCCCCCCCCCCCTTCACCCTCC